GATGAATTCTTCCAGCACACGTTCCTACCTATATTTTGTTCAATTTATATTACTTTCTAAATTTTTAGGAATAAAATAACTCAGGGACGTGCGGAGGAGCTATTTGCACGGTCCGGCAGGGATTTTTTTAAAAAAAAATATTTATTTTTACGATTTAAAATATGGTTTCAAAATATCCGGCCCAGCCTGGGTATTTTATATTTAAAAAATTAAAATATGACATGACCCGTGTATTCCGGACCGGGCTTAGGGCCGGACCGGCAGGTCTCTGAAATAACTGATATGAATTATCAATAAATTTAATTTTAATATAAATTAGAAATCGTATTTTTTTTCATAGAATTTCTAAATTATTACACTTTGAAATGAAAATTAATTTTTAACATGAATTAAGAATCTTATTGTGCGGGATTTTTTTTCATGGAATATCTAAATTATTACATTTTGAAAATTTATATTAATATAATTATTTTATTTTTAATATTAGTTTAAAAATTTTTTTAATACCTAAAATTTATTTACCCAAAACAGTTACAGAATATAATTGATAAAAAACCATATTAAAAACACCCAAATACAAATCTATTCAAAATATACAGAAGGAAATGTAGATAATATTTTTAACGATTCCGTTTTTTATTGTTTACCAATGAGGAAAATTATGTGAAAGCTTTATACATTGCTACTAAAATAGCAAAGGTTTAAATCAAAGATTCGCGCTTTCGAATTGTCCATAATATTACTAATAGTCCTTGTTCAAAAAATGTTGGCCATTGGAAAAATAGTTATTCTATCAATAATATTGGGAATAGTATTTCTAATATTTTAAAAAGAGCCCCTTCTTTTATTTTATATTTAAATGATCGTGGACGTCAAAACATAAATTATTCTCAAATATTTAGACAAAATAACTTTATCTTAGGTCATCACTTGTTATTACCTATCCATAGAACAGATAGAACAAATATCTGTCTAAAAATTTAAAAGGGAAAGTATTAAAAATTGAACAAAATAAAATATAGGTAGGTGTGCTGGAAGAATTCCAGCACCATTTATGCCTCTAGTCTATATAAAACTATAAAATTAAGATGTTGAAGTTCCCAACAAAGATATATCAATCATAGGTAATTTAAGCTATTTTTATAGTAATTACATATACTCCTCAAATTAATTCATGTACATAAAATGTATTTATTTTTTATCTAAACTGATAAAAATATTTAGGAGTTTCCGCGAATGTCACAAAATATGAGAAAACATCGTAATGCAATTGCAAAATGGGTTGCATGAATAAAAAGTGAGTGTTTAAAGAACATCAAATGTTCAACGAAATGTCATATTGCATTGAATTGTTGCAATAAATAATTTTTTTTAATTCGATTTTTTTTTAAAAATATATATCCATGTGAAAATATTTATGATTTATATAAATTTACAAAAAAAATGTCCTTCTTTTCATTCATTATATGCCTTAATTTTATATTTACTTTTTTAAACATTCTCTTATACTTTTTGATAATTTATTTATTATAACAAAATATCTCTAAAAAATAAAATTTTCTGGTGCCAGCCAAGCGGTAAAAAAGAAAGAAAAAAAATATTACTGTTTTAAAAAAATATATTCCGAATCCCCGGTTTTAAATATTTTTAAAAATAAGATACAAGTAAAATCCGATATAACTAGGGTCCAAGGAATTGTAGTCTTCCGTCAGGTCTAAATCGGTGGGGAATAAATTGGTGGACTCAAAATGATTAGATATGTGAGCGGCTGTTAAACATTTTTTGATGACATGATTTATTGAAGTGTGACAAAGATGCTTCCTTTGACTATATAAACAATTCAGGCCGTGTCTACCTTTCGAATCTATTGGAGTATTACATATGACATAAGTGTGAGACTGGACGATGCCTCACCCTAAGCGTAAGCTGATAGCTACTCTTAATTATTCAGCTGATAAGAGATTATCAAGGTTAAGACTAGGAAGTGCTCCTAATGACCACCAAATTTGTCTCTTTGAGAAGTTGGGTACAGTTTAAAGGTGGATTGAATGATATGGTTGAATGGAAATTAAGTATTAAGAGTGTGAAAAGGTTTTCGTGATGATTGATGGAAAAGAAGTGTTTGGGGGTGTTAGTGTTGTTAAACGGCTCATTTTGAGCCGATTTTTCAAAACGGCTAACTCAATATTTTATTAGGAAAAATATCATGCAAGCCTTAAGATTTTGCTCATAGGTGGCACAAAGGTTTGGACATATATTAACGAAATCTTGATCGTCTAAAATCGAGCTGTTTAACAACACTATGTTATCTTCCCATCTGTTTGTTGCGTTAGTTAATAAAGTCAGTCGGGGATATGAAGCCTGAGAATTGTTTATTAATAAAAATAGAGGTGGAACAAAGTATAAACTACCCTAATTAGCAGGAATTGGGCGAATGGCCAGTTGAATGGTGATAATTCAATATTTAAAAATCGACGAAAATTTTTAATTTATCCTAAATTTTACTCATAAAATGGTCATTTATGAGGAAGGATTAAGAACAAAATTTATGTAAAAATTTAGGAATGTAAAGACATATGTGATTAAAAATAGGCACCGATGAGCTGGTAAGGGATAAGATATTAATAATGTTAATGTAATTAATATTGAATCAATCATGGTATGTTAATTTATATTCTCCAATATCATAGTTTAATTTATAAAGAAAATTTATCAAAAGTACTTTATCTTCTAGTGAAGATTATCTAACTCTGCCCTTGCCATTTGAAACATTTTTTAAACAACTAGAGATAATTAAGAATACTAAGTCTACACTGTATTGTGCTCTAATTCAAATATTTTAACCTCAATGAGCAGCTCAAATATAAAAAAAACATATGAAGGTAAAAATATAAATTCAGATTAAATTCTGATAAGATAATTAAAAAAATTGATGGAACTGGAAGATTCTTGTAAAGATAATCTAATAAGTTTTTAAGAAAATATCAACACCAGTTGAATGTGTGTTTATTACATCGAAAGCTGTGTTGAGCACAAAACTCCCTTGTTTATCAAATCTAAATTTTGAAAATTAATTGTTAAAAATGTAAAAAAAATTATTACAAAAAGAATATCTTATAACATATTAATTTTGTATAATTATCATAGATTGAGAAAATTATATATAATATTTAGTATTTTTTAAGTAACAATGTTACTTTATTTGAATGGCCAGTAATGCATACAAGTAATGGCAATGTATATTCTTTTTTTCAAATTGTAACATGTTACTTTTTTGAATGGCCAGTAACATATTCTTATTTTCACAAGGTAACAGTAATTGCATTGCATTCCTTTTTCAAATGTAATTAGTAACACGTTTCTTTTTTGAAGTAACGTTTATAGCATTAATTATGACTGCTAGTTCCTGATTACATGCCTGAAAAAAATAATTATTGTTAATTATTAACTTCTTTTTTTAAAGTAGTATTAATTTAGTTACTAATTATAAAAAAGTAATTGTGATTATGGAATTAATTACTACCCAACTTTGCTAAATAGTTTAAAAAATTTGTTTGGTATAATATATAATAAAGTAAAAATAAAATTAGATATTAAGAATGTGTTAAGAACATTCCAAAATATGAACAGAATTGGAACACAATATAATTTTTTGGTAAAAATTGGAGAGGAAGGCAAAAATGTCTGTGCCCTGATTCCCTGGTCAGAATTAATTTTGACAATTTTATGTTATAAGATTGTTTGTTACAGGGATCCAAACCGAACCATTAAACTGCTAAAAACTGGTCGTTAAAAAATTTTTAGTCGAACCTGAACATAACCACTAAAATGCCTCTGAACCAGTTTGAGTCTCATGATTTTATGCTTATAAAATAATGTGTAAGTTATTACTAGTATATTGCAAAAATTTTAATTGTCATAATTTTTATAAATTTTAGTATATTGCCATTTTACAACATTTTTTAGTTATTTTAAGCTTATAAATTATAATGCTGGGAGAAAAATTAAATCTATTAAAATTACATATCAAAATGTAATATTACTGATTGTCAAATAAATATGAAAGGCCATTATGGAGCAAATCTTAAGTGTCACATAAAAAGAAACCACCCTCTAGAATTCAATAAAATTAACAAAATATCACAACAAAAGCCTAATAAAATAAAAAAGTTTAAGATTATATTATTAAAATATGGAATTAAACTTTGTTATAAGAGTAGAGTATTTTAGTAAAGGTGAATCAATGCCAGTTAATGTATCTTCATCTGAAGAGGATTTAGTAGAAAGTTTTCTTTAAAAAAAAGATGGTAACAAACAAAATCTGTTTAAAAAATCGGAGAATATTAAAAATATTTTAGTTATATTTTCTAAAGAACCTATGTTAAATAAAAATTTGAATATTTTAGACTATTAGAGAAATCAGATTAATCGATACACATAATTATGTAAATTGTCTGATATTATACTGGCAGTGCTAGCTACCCAAGTTAGTGTGGAAAGATGTTTTTCAACAATTAAATTTATACAATCTCCTTATAGATCTAATTTGAGTGAGACAAATCTTGAAAATTATTCATTGTGTGGCTAAATAAAAATTCTTAAGTATATAAGTTAAATATTGTTCATATTAAAATTAATCATTGATATTTATTTGTTATAATTATAAGTTAAATATAATATTATTTTATAATGTACAATTATAAAAATGTAGGTTTTATGTATGTGTTTTTTATTTTAATGATGAAATAAAAAATATTTTCTTCCCTATAAATAATTTGAATGTAAGTTTGAATATAAAAGTAATAAATCAGGGTTTTAGATGTTCAAACCGAACCAATATTTTTATTTTTTACAAACAGAACCTGAACCTTGATCTGTTATATTATTAGAACCTAAACCTAAACTGAACCAATATTGGTTTTGGTTTGGATTGGTTTGTTATGCCTTATTTTTTAAAATTTCATATAGTGAAAATAAAATTTAAGAATATTAACAAATACCTAGAAACAATGAATTTCCTTTCAACTTTGGGTTTACTGAGTAGCTTAATTTTCAAATCAACTGGCAAAATAGATAAATCATTTTTAGGTGATCTATGATGATTTAGGGCATTCACAGATAAGTAGTAACATAAATCATCAAAAATTATCTGTTGATCAGAATTTAAAGATAATATATCTTGCTCTGGATTAGAATGTATATGATGTAACACTTGTTCAGGAGAATTTTTTGATTTATATAACATACCAGGATAAACAGGTACTTGAGAAATATCATCACCCATAAATAGTAAAATTTAATGAAGTATCATATTATAAATAAATGAATATAATGTTAAATTTGATAATAAATTTCATTTTTCATTGCATAATTTGTAAAAACTTTCAAACATAATTATGAATAATTAAAATTTTCTTTATTAAAACAAAAATAAATAATCTATATTGAAATTATAAGATATTAGCATACATTTAATTTACCATTATAAAATCAGCATATCATATCTTGAGGTTTTATAGAAACACTGTCAAAGTTAATTTGAAATAATATGACAATTAATCATTAGCATTTAATTTGCCAATTTTGATATTCTATTCAGAATAAATGCACATTGTGACTTTTTATTAAAAATTTAAGTCATGTGAATATTGTAAAACTATGTAATATAAATAATTGTTCATGCCAAAAATATCCTTAAGCATAAGCTAAAAATTACATTTATAAAGTTATTTAACTTGGTAAATATAAATTAATTTTTTTAAACGGGTTATAAAAGTTTTTGCAAAAAAGACGCTTATTTGTCAGGTCATCTTATAATTGACATCTATCAAATATATTCTCAATTATAGTTTTCCCTAATCCCTTAGGCTAAGTTTACAGCTACTTTTTTAACTTAATCATTATAATGCATTCATAGTTCGCTATATGCAACTCTCTTTGTCTGATGGTTAGTTCCATCAAAAATACTTTGAACTAACGAAAAGTAAATAAATTCAGCATTGGGCGTAGGGTGATATAAATTATTATTTAGAAAAAAAGAGAGTGTAAAAAGGTCACTTAATATTTGCTCAAAATTATATAATCTTCAAAGATCATCAAAAATTTTAGAGCTTTTATTTAAAAAAATTTTGGGCAACATTTGCTCAAAATAAAAAGATCTTAAAAGATCTAGTAAAATTTGAAAATCTTTTACTTTTAAAATTTTTTTAGCAACGATCTTCAAAGATCGAGATCTTTTGAAGATCTTTTATTTTAAAAAAATTTTGAGCAGCGATCTTCAAAGATCAAATATTTTAGATCAACGATCTTCAAAGATCTTCATATTTTATAATGTTATAGTAAATTATAATTTTTTTGATATTATTTTTTGAAGTAAATGGGTTAGTCATGTTAAATTAAAATAAAAATTTAATAAAGATGTACTGACAATTTTCATAATCGTTACTTTTTTTAAACTTTTTTTGACATATATGGGTAAAAAAAAATTTATATCAAAAAAATATTAATATTAAAATTTCAATGAAGATGTAATGTAAGTAACACAAAAAAATTGGCAATTGTAATAATCGTTATTTTTAACTTATTTGATTTATTGTATCGTAAATAGGTTATAGTAATTATTATTAAGATGTAAAAATAAAATTTCAATGAAGATGTACCATAGAAAAGTGATAATTGTTATAAATTGTTGTTTTTGAAATTTATTTTAAAGCATAGATATTGTTAACATATTAAATTAAAATATCAGTAAAGATGCACAGGAAAGTGACAATTGTCATAATCGTTATTTTTGAACTTTTTTGAATTTTTTTAAGGCAAATGCGTAAAAATTGACATTGTTAACATGTTAAATTAAAATTTCAGAGAAGATATACTACTGGAAAGTGACAATTGTCATAATCGTTATTATTGAACTTTTTTGAATTTTTATAAAGCAAATGGGTAAAAATAGATGTTGTTAACATGTTAAATTAAAATTTCAGTGAAGATGTTCCACAGGAAAGTAATAATTGTCATAATCGTTATTTTATAACTTTTTGAATTTTTTTAAGGCAAATGGGTAAATATTGATATTGTTAACATGTTAAATTAAAATTTCAGAGAAGATATACTACTGGAATGTGACAATTGTCATAATCATTATTATTAAACTTTTTTGAATTTTTTTTAAGCAATTGAGTAAAAATAGATATTGTTAACATGTTAAATTAAAATTTCAGTGAAGATGTATCACAGGAAAGTGACAATTGTCATAATCGTTATTTTGTACTTTTTTGAATTTTTTTAAAGCAAATGGGTAAAAATATATAATGTTAATATGTTAAATTATAATTTCAGTGAAGATGTACCACATAATCGCTATTTTTGTACTTTTTGGAATTTTTTTAAGGTAAATGGATAAAAATATTTATTGTTAACATGTTAAAATTTCAGTGAAGATGTACCACAGGAAAGTGACAATTGTCATAATCGTTATTTTTGAACCTTTTTCAATTTTTTTAAAGCAAATGTATAAAAATAGATATTGTTAACATGTTAAATTAAAATTTCAGTGAAGATGCACCACAAGAAAGTGATAATTGTCATAATCGTTATTTTATATATTTTTGAATTTTTTTAATGGGTAAAAATTGATATTGTTATTGTTAACATGTTAAATTAAAATTTTAGAGAAGATATACTACTGGAAAGTGACAATTGTCATAATCGTTATTATTGAACTTTTTTGAATATTTTTATTGTTCATGTTAAATTAAAATTTCAGTGAGGATGTATCACAGGAAAGTGACAATTGTTATAATCGTTATTTTGTACTTTTTTGAATTTTTTTAAAGCAAATGGGTAAAAATAGATATTGTTAATATGTTAAATTAAAATTTCAGTGAAGATGTACCACAGGAAAGTGACAATTGTCATAATCGTTATTTTTAAAGTTTTTTGAATTTTTTTAAGGCAAATGGATAAAAATATTTATTGTTAACATGTTAAAATTTCAGTGAAGATGTACCACAGGAAAGTGACAATTGTCATAATCGTTATTTTTGAACCTTTTAATGTATAAAAATTGATATTGTTAACATGTTAAATTAAAATTTCCGTTGTACCACAGGAAAGTGACAATTGTCATAATCGTTATTTTTGTACTTTTTTGAATTTTTTTAAAGCAAATGGGTAAAAATAGATATTGTTAATATGTTAAATTAAAATTTCAGTGAAGATGTACCACAAGAAAGTGACAATTGTCATAATCGTTATTTTTCTACTTTTTTAAATTTTTTTAAGGCAAATGGATAAAAATATTTATTGTTAACATGTTAAATTAGTGAAGATGTACCACAGGAAAGTGACAATTGTCATAATCGTTATTTTTGAACCTTTTTGAATTTTTTTAAAGGGTAAAAATAGATATCTTTTGTAAAATCTTTTTAGTTCATATCCAAGGTTTAGCTTGATTATTAACTCTGCTAAACCAAACCTGAAACGATTTGTTAAATATATATTAACCGTTATTAAAGAGAATATAAACTGAGCCAACCATTTTTAAATTTTTTATATAATGCATTTATATGTCATCTACTTAAATTTATAGAAAGGTTCTTAACTTAAAATTTATTTTTAAATTTTTCAATGTTGTGTTGTAACACAAAATTTTAAAATTTAATACTAATTTTTTTTCTTATGGAGCTAAATACTATCCAGAACATGATGATATTAAATTTTCCATGTGCATCTTTTATAGTATTTGGTTCCATAAGAAAAAAAATTAATATTAAATTTTAAAATTTTGGGTTACAACACAATATTGAACAATTTAAAAATAAATTTTAAGTTAAGAACCCTTCTATAAATATAGGTAGCTGACATATAAATGCAATATATAAAAAATATAAAAATGATTGGTTCAGTTTAGATTCTCTTTAATAATGGTTAATATATATTTAACAAATCGTTTCAGGTTTGGTTTAGCTGAGTTAATAATCAAGTTAAACCTTGGATATGAACTAAAAAGATTTTACAAAAAATATCTATTTTTGCCCATTTGCTTTAAAAAAATTCAAAAAGGTTCAAAAATAACGATTATGACAATTGTCACTTTCCTGTGGTACATCTTCACTGAAATTTTAATTTAACATATTAACAATATCTATTTTTACCCATTTGCTTTAAAAAAATTTAAAAAAGTTCAATAATAACGATTATGACAATTGCTTTCCTGTGGTTCATCTTCACTGAATGTTTAATTTAACATATTAACAATTTCTATTTTTACCCATTTGCTTTAAAAAAATTTAAAAAAGTTCAATAATAACGATTATGACAATTGTCACTTTCCTGTGGTTCATCTTCACTGAAATTTTAATTTAACATATTAACAATATCTATTTTTACCCATTTGCTTTAAAAAAATTCAAAAAAATGCAAAAATAACGATTATGACAATTGTCACTTTCCTGTGGTACAACTTCACTGAAATGTTATTTAACATGTTAACAATATCTATTTTTACCCATTTGCTTTAAAAAAATTCAAAAGTGCAAAAATAACGATTATGACAATTGTCACTTTCCTTTGCTACATCTTCACTGAAATTTTAATTTAACATGTTAACAATATCTATTTTCACCCATTTGCTTTAAAAAAATTCAAAAAAGTTCAATAATAACAATTATGACAATTGTCACTTTCCAGTAGTATATCTTCTCTGAAATTTTAATTTAACATGTTAACAATATCAATTTTTACCCATTTGCCTTAAAAAAGTTCAAAAATAACGATTATGACAATTGTTACTTTCCTGTGCATCTTTACTGATATTTTAATTTAACATGTTAACAATATCTATACAAAAATTTATAAAAACAACGATTTATAACAATTGTCACTTTTCTATGGTACATCTTCATTGAAATTTTATTTTTACATCTTAATAATAATTATTATAACCTATTTACGATACAATAAATCAAATAAGTTAAAAATAACGATTATTACAATTGCCACTTTTTTGTGTTACTTACATTACATCTTCATTGAAATTTTAATATAAATATTTTTTTAATATAAATTTTCTTTTTACCCATATATGTCAAAAAAAGTTTTTAAAAAAAACGATTTTATGAAAATTGTCGGTACATTTTTATTAAATTTTTATTTTAATTTAACATGCTTACTAACCCAAAAAAATAATAATTTACTATAACATTATAAAATATGAAGATCTTTGAAGATCGCTGCTCAATATTTTTTTAAAATAAAAGATCTTCAAAAGATCTCGATCTTTGAAGATCGCTGCTCAAAATTTTTTAAAAGTAAAAGATCTACAAATTTTCAGATCTTCGAAGAAAATCTTTTGTACAACTCATCAATAATTCTGATTTTTTGTGATTTTGTAATATTAAAATTTTTCATGATTTTGAGATTTTAAAATCTCTAAAGACTTTTATCCTTATAGATTTTTGCAAAATAAATATTCTATGATCAAATCATTTTTGAATATCTTATTAATTAATTATGTGGTGAATAAAAAGGTTTAAATATGATCTTCTTAGTTAATGTTGCTGCCTTATATTTCTTAGTTTATATTTATTTTATTATAAATATCTTATTTTAGTTTTTCCTTTGCTGTTATATATTCTTATATGCTTTAGTGATTATTTTATCCTTAGCTTTTGATATTTTAATATTTTTTTGCAAAGTTGTTAATGCTAATTTTTAAAAGTGCTCCCGCTCATGCTCCTACCTTCTTAAGAGGAGCTAGCCGCTCCCGCTACTAAATATTTAAAAGAAGCTAGCTCCCTCTCCAAGTAATGGAGTGCCACTTCATTGCCGCTCCTTTAATTTTCATTTTTTAGAAAGTACACGAAACAACATCATTTTCATCAAAAAAGTTTTATTTATTTTAAATGATATATCATAATATTTATAATCATTTAGTAGCTTTTAAAACTAAAAAATTTTCAAAATGTGAATTTAACAAACATCTACGCCTCTCTCTTGTTTGGCAACACTAAACATGGGCTCAATAGGAGCACTAGAGGAAAGCAGGGTATTGTATTTTATAAAAACATTTTTTTATTCGGGAAATTTAAAAATATATTTAAAAGGCATCGTATTTAACAACCCAAACTCAACTATAATGAATTGCCCAAAAATAATTATGGCCATTTTAAAAAAGATTATTCCAAAATAAAAAAATATATTTTGCATTTAAAAGAAAGATTTTTTACTTTTCGATGCTTTTTTAGGTTTAAGTTGCTCATTTTTCAAAATAAAATAGTTTTATTTATACATCATAAACATTTGCCCCTAATATTCATTTCATTAGGATCATTAGGATCTAACTTTTTTAGAAGAGAAGAATATATTTTGTATGATGGTATTGGAAATTATATTTCTTCTTCTATGATGTCTGGATTCATAATATCAAAAACTATTTTTTATCATATATCTATAAAATGAATATAATATGACTTACAAGATTTTTGAAAAATTTTCAATATAAAAAGAAAGAAAAAATTGAAGTTTAAAATTTAACTGATAAGATGAAAAACCAATATAAAACTAGGCTCAACATTTAATATTGCATAAATTTAAATAAAATAAAATTTCATTTTTATTGAATTTTAATTAAGAAATAAATACATTTATAATATTTAAAAAAATAATTTAATTTATACATTAAACTTAAAAGAGCGGTAAAGCGGCGCTCCTCCACCCCAGCTTTACAAGGAGCTAGCCCCCGCTTCCCCTGCTATTTTTAAAAGGGGGCGCTCCATGTGTTTTTAAAAAGGTGTAGCGCCGCTCCTTAACAACTCTGAATTTTAATCCCTTTTTTTGTTAAAACATTTTCAAATTATTAAAGCAAAATATAAAATAAAATAATCAGTCTTGTTAACGATCCTTTTTAAAAGTAGCGACTTCCGCTCCCGCTCCTACCTTCTCAAAAGGAGCGAACTCCCGCTCTCGCTACTACATATTAAAAGGAGCGCTCCCGTTCCAACTAATGGAGTGCCGCTCCATAACCGCTCGTTTGATTTTCATTTTTTTAGAAGGTACACGAAACAAAATCATATTTTTTTTATCAAAACGTTTTATTTATATTATATGATATATCAAAATTTTGATCTTTTATTAGCTTTTAAAAGTAATAAATTTTCTAAATTAGAATCTAACAAACACCCACGCTTCTCCCCTAAGACCTGTTTTGCGATACTAAATAGGCGCTCCACAGGAGCACTAGAGGGAAGCGGGGTATTGTATTTAATATAAATATTTTTTAATTCATGGAATTGTTCAAAAATAGTAATTTTGCTATCATTATTTAAAAAATATCTATCCAAAATATTATTTTCATGGTAATCGATTTCATGGAATCCAAAGAAATCTTCCAAATCATTACAAGGTTCCCGTGAACTAGTTGTAGCTATTTTTCCGTCGGGTATTTGTTTCCTTAAAAAATTAATTAATCTGGCTTTTAGTTCCATATTTTTTGGATCTTTTATCCATTCCCAATTCAATTTAAATGCAGGATGGACAATCGCTGCAATTATATTATCATCATTTTAAATATTTGGAAATCTGCAATAAGGTTATTTAAATAGATATAATTTATGTTTTATTATAAACCTTTTATTAATACCGCTGATGAGAGACTTTACAAGAGGTTGGCAAAACTCTAAATCTGTTAATTCATTTAATTTCGAAATGAGTTTAAAAATGGTAGGACTTAGGAAACCCATGTCCATATGAAGCTCCCCTTCAAAGATTTTCAGAGCTTTTTTCATAGGTTCCATAACCTAAGATTTATTTATATCACTAAGATAACGATTATATTAATATTTACTTGACTATACTCTTTAATAAATTTATGTTCTTGGGAGTTAAAACGTATAAGCCCATGGTTATCACACAACTCATCAAGGTCCTTTTGTTTTTCATCTAACATTTTATCTAGCAAAACCATAGACTCATAATACGAATTCCACCTAGTGGATTTTGGGCATATTAGATACCTAACCAACTTTCTGATAATTTCGTCCGCCATATTTGTAGACATATTTTGTTTATTTTACAAAGATTGACACTTTTGGAATTAACTTTGAGATACTATTTGAAAGCTTCTATCCCCTAAAGCTTTCTCTGCATCAACTGTTGCCACCAAATTAAGATTGTGACAAGCACATCTTGAATGTTGAGGGAGATAATCAAAGCTTTCTGCCCTATTATTTAGGATATCATCAATATCCACAAATTGGAAATCATCATCAATCTCAGAACTTTTATCTTCAAACATTCTAAAAAATAAAAGGAAAGTTATAATTTTAAAATAAATATTTGAGATTACCTGAATGCCTTCACAAAGTTTCTACCATTATCAGTAATGGTTTTTATCACTTTATTCCGAATTTTAAAGCTTTTATGTATATCAATTATCATCTTAGCCAAAACATCAAAAGTATGCTTGCCTTGAACACGTCTTAGGGCTAAAGCTGCTGATTTTCTTTGCAATGATTTTGTGTCAATCCAATGAGCAGTTACACCCAAAAAAGACCTTTATAAGTTAAATTAATCAAGCACATTTAAAAATATAGGCACTACCTTCTAAATCCACTACAGCAATCAGCTGTGGTACACACATAAGATACTCCAGAAAGCATTTCTATAATATCATCCATCATTTTATCATAACGCAAACCTATCTTTGCTATTAGTGTTTGGCGGCACATTACCTTTGCTGAAGGGGAAAACGTTTTTATCATTTTGACAAAGCTAGGATTATCTACAGTTGATAAAGGAACTAGTGTCTCAATGACATAATCAATGATTGCATTATCTCCTTCAGTTTTTGTAGGTTCATATGTTTTTTGACTAAAATTTAATATTGACTGTTTATTCTCAGAAGAGGAAGACTTTATATTTTGGCTCATATCTTTTTTATTATAACTATTGATATGATTTTCAATTTTTGAATATTGATTATCATGTACTCTCTAAATATAAATTTATAAATTAAATTAAAATTTATTTTATAAAAATCAACTTTATTTTTAACTGATAATCTAAAACATCAAATTATTAAGGTAGATTTTTTAAATAAGAAATTGACAAATATTTAATGAGCAGTATAAATATCTTTTTAGGTACTTAATTTTTTTTTTTATTATTTTGTTTTACTTATTTTATTAATATAAAATAAAAATAAATAATTATTTTCCAAGTTTATTGATCAAAATAAAATAAGAAAAAATCAAATTAAAATTAAATAAAATATAAATTTTACCATAATAAAATGTATATTTTTAATTTGGATGTTACAATTCAATTTAAAAAAATACTTTAAATTTATAAAAAAAATGTATAAAAAGGAGGTTGAACAAGTAATGAGAAAATTAAAATAAATATAAAAATATAAAAAAGCATCATATCTGACAACCCAAGCTCAACTAATGTAATGAATTGCCCAAAAATAATTAAAACCATTTTAAAAAAAATTATTATATTAAAATAAAGAAATATTGATTTTACCTTAAGGTGTTTTTTTAAATTAAAGCTGCTGATTTTAAAGAAAGAAATCATTTTGTTGTTAATGCACAATAGGCATTTCGCCTTTAAGTTGACTTTATCATCTGTATCATCTATAAGCTTGAAATATTTTTTGTATGGTGGAAATGGAAAATCGGTTTCTTCTTCTATAATCTCTAAATCCATAATATCTAAAACTATTTTTTATTATATATCTATAAAATGAATATTAATATGACTTACAAGATTTTTCAAAAAATTTTCAATATAAAAAGGAAAAACTGATGTTTAATGTTTCAAATGATTAGATGAAAAATCAATATAAAACTCGGCTCAACATTTAATAATGAATAAATTTAAATAAAATAAAATTTTATTTTCATTAAATTTTAATTAACAAATATTATTAATATTTAAAAAATAATATAATTTATATATTAAATTTAAAGGGCGGAGGCAGCCCTAAAAGGAGCTACTCCCGCTCCTCATTTTTAAAAAGGAGGGGCGCTCCTTAACAAGACTGAAAATAATATTTAAAAAAATAACAAAATACATAAAATTACAAAAACAACTTGCACAAGTTAAATAATAAATAAATAAAAAATTTCTTTTAAAATATGTCAGCTAAAAATTTTAAGAGTAAGAAAATATATCAATCACAACCTGGGTTGTCAGATCTCCAGCTTTTGGGGTACTTTTCCGTATTTATTTTAGTTTACGCCAAAACACGCCCTATTGAATTACGCTATCTCATTTTTTACGCTTTCTCCTTATTTTTTTTTAAAAAAATTTTTTAATATAAAATATATATAGCTTAATCAGAAACTTATTCTATCATTTTTAAATTTAATTCAATCATATATTCAAAAATGAATTTTATTTTTTTTATTTTTTATTTATATTTTGAGAGGAAAAAACAAATATAAATTACAGTTTAACCACAAATTTAACATCCAAAAAAAAATTAAAATGCATCTTGTTTTTGTTTACTTTTTATTTATATTTTGAGAGGTTAAAACAAATATATATTACAGTCTAAAGACAAATTTAACATCCAAAAAAAAAATTTAAATCAATATCATAATAACTGCACCTACATTTATTCATGGGTCAGAGAATATAAAGAATATAGCCTAAATAAAATTGTATAATATTATGCCAAATTTAATATTAGCCATGGGGGATTAGTTCATGATATAAAAAACATTCAACAAGACAATAACATATTTCCTAAGAAATAAAGAATCATCAAATAACAACCACATTTCAAAAACAATCATTTATGTCATGATAATACTAAAATAACCAAAACGAAATTCATCTAATACACGATAAAGCATCCTCTTAGTTATTTATCTACAGATTACAAATCTATTGCCTATACTCTTTCCTTTAAAAATAGCCAAAAGCATTAAATATAGAAGAATAAAAGCATCAAAAATAGTGTTAAATATCCTTGGTTCTGAAACTAAGAAACACATCTTAAAAGATATGAAAGGAAATCATCCATTTTCTCTATTAACTTTTGCGTCAAATAATGGAAATACTAAGACATTCCCAATAATGAGCACTATTTTAATAAAGAAAGAAGGGTTTCAAGTAAACTTCCTGCTCAGAGAAATTGAAGGATCCAACGTAATTAAATGTAATCTAATACTCTCTTTTCTTCGTGAAGCCCTCATCAGGCTAAATAAATATGTGAAGTGGCATTAGAATGACGTAATGCTTTCTGATAAATGATGTTCATTGTGCCTGATTATTTCTTAAAAATCATTTTAAAATTCATACACGTTATATAATATGGCATAGTCATGAAATATAAAATTCCTTCTTTTTATTGGTTATCAGACAAAACATTACAAATTTAAGATCAGGGAGTTCAATAAAAATATGGAATTGAATATTTTGATAAAAAAATGTGGGAGATTTTGTGTTAGATTATGTTATATTTAAATTTTAAAAAGTTTAGTAGTATCGTGATTGAGTTGAGTGTGGTATATTTTGACCTTTATAAAAAAAACAGTAGTAGTCTATTAATCAACGTGATAGACCTGGAAATTATGCTCATGTGGCTCATCAAGCCAGCTTGATTGTTCATCTATTTGTTCGCTCAATTATATTAAATTATCCAAATCACAAATGAATAGCTTTCGGCTAAATATTAAACTCAAATGAACTCATGAGCCGATTCAACCAGAAGCTGGCTTAAATCAGAGTCTATTTTTAGACTAAAAAAACTTGACTGAGTTTATGAATAAGTTCATTCGACCTATTTGTTTTTACTATTTCTATTTATAATAGAACAATGAAAAAAATTACAATTTTTTAGATAAATTCTTTATAGGGGCATAATCAAGAAAATAGAAAGCATGTCCCCCTCTCTCATAAATTTTCCTTGTTTCCGTAAATATTTTTATTAGCTAACAAAATATTTTCCCTAAGCGTGCCTCACCTTTCTCTTCCTAAAAATATTAGTACAACATGTGAGAATATTTACTATAAATATAAGTAAAGTATAAACATTTAGCGTTAAGCAAATTAGATTTTTTTTCACATATTATATAATTTACGATTCAATTTATTTCAACATCTCTGCTATATTTGAGCCCTGATTATCATTAAAATCTTTAAGGAAAAAAGCCAATTATCATAAAAATATTTTTTCTTTTATAAAATTTGTTTTAAAAAAAGTTTATAAATTAAGATTATGGCAATTATCACTATCTTCATTGTATTTATAATTTAACGGGCTACAATATTTATTTGCCTGAATTTTTTTAAAGTTTAAAAAAATATTGAATATGACAATCTTCTTGATATTTTATATCTTATGTCTAAAAAAATATATATTTATTTACCCATTTGCTTCAAACATGTTTAAAAATTAAAATTATGATAATTATTACTTTTCTATATTATATTTAACAGGTTTACAATATAGTTTTACGCGTTTGTATTAAATAAAATCAAAGATGTTAAAAAAAATAACTATTATGACAATTGTCACTTTTCTGTGGTACATCTTCATTGAATTTATAATTATACATCTTTACAATATATTTTTTTTTACAAATTTGCGTTAAAAATAAAGAGTTAAAAAAACAATTATCACATTTATCTCTTCTTTTTTGTGGTACATCTTTATTGGATTTATAATAGCATCTTTTCAAATTTTGCTCATTTTTACGACTCGAGTTCCGAACTTGAGTCGTGAACTCAAGTCGCGACTCGAGTTCTGAACTTGAGTTTTGATCTTTAGTCATGAACTTGAGTTTTGATCTTGAGTCATGAACTCGAGTTATGAACTTGAGTCGTGAACTAGTCATAAACTTGAGTCGTGAACTAGTCATAAACTTGAGTCGTGAACTCAACAGGTTATCTTAAATTTTATGAAACTCGATTACTTATATTAGTATTGTTAATTGATTGGTTGTGTAATACCCAGACCTGGCGCTTGGCTCTATAATTAGACTAAATCTGCTATGAGCACGGGGCCCATGTATCTTAAGTTATTGAACTTATTAGTTAAATATATGGTTATTACAGATAAATCGATAGATAATTAAAAGACCTATTGAATATGCAACAATTCAAGCGCCACTTTTCTATGAGTGAAGCTATTTCTACGTAAACGGAAATTTTAATAACATGAATAGAAAAAATAATCCTAAAATTATATTTTGAAATAAAGAGGTTGCTCGTAGCATAAACTCCTTCCTATTCCTATATTTATGAACTATTATTTTCCTGATTTTATTATATTTAAAATCATAAAAAATATATTTTTATTTTTATAAAAATATTAAAATAAAATAAATGAAACAATGAATTTGTTGATCCAAAAATTTTTTTTATTTATTCGATTTTTTCATTGTAAATATAAAATTTAACTCATACATATGATTTATAAAGATTTAAATAAATAAAATAAAAATAATTTCAAAGCGGAGTTGAAAAAATAAAATAAATAAAACAATGAATTAGATGCAAAAAAAATTTAAAAAATCCCCCACTCCTTAATTAGGTGCCAGATAGGCGATTTGGTTTTTTATTTTATTATAAAATTAATTTCTATTTTTTTATTTAAGATTTTTTGAAATATTAAATAATTTTTTATAAAAAAATGTATAATATTACCTACAAATTTTTAAAGATGGAAATGGAAATTAAATTTAGGGGGGGGGGCTAAATATTTAGATGAAAAGTAGTTTTATTTCATCAAATCGAAAAATAAATAACATTAAAAAAAATAACATCAAAAAATAAGAAAAAAGAATAATGAAATGAGCCTCCCAAAAGGAATAGTAAACTAACCAGATATTTAGTATAAAATTATTTTATTTTTATAAAAAAAATTTTTATGGACGAGGCAGATATGGAACAAGAGCAAGACAATTCTTTTACCTCTATAAAAGATTACTTTATAGACACTAATAATACTAAGCGCAAATGTTTGTATTGTGATAAAATTTACAGTCTCCATACGGCTACAAAGTATAATATATTTCCAAAATATATTTTTGATAAAATATGATAAAATAATAGGAAAATAAGCAATAGGTGATGATATGTAGGTTCTATTTTCAATTTCATAAAACTTATAATTAACTGTAATAAATTTGAAAATATTTATATATACATTGTTTAAATAGGTTAATATAAAATAAATTACCAAATATATAAATCCTATATTAAAAATTTTTAATATTTTTTAGCCAACCTTAAAAATCATATAAAAATATTGCACCCTAAATTCATTATCCAAACTAAAGAAATAATGCCCAAGCATTTATCGGACATAAGAAAACTTCAACCAGAAGAAAACAAAAGAATAAATAAACTAATACTCAGATGTATTATTAAAAATAATTTAGCATTTAACATATTCGACTCAATTGAATTCCGGGATATATTTGCTTTTATATTTAAAAATGAAAAGATTTGGACACGACAAACAGCGAAAGTATATTTACATTCGATGTATGAAACATCCAAATTAAAACTAATAGCTAAATTAAAAAATGTACAAAGTAAAATTTCGCTTTCAACCGATATTTATACAGGAATCAATAGTATGTCTTACTGTTCTATTACTGTACACTATATTACAAATAATTGGAAAATTAAAAACTATCTTTTAGATTTAATCGAACTTCCTCATCCTCATAGTGGGCAAGATATAGCGA